AAATTCATCTGAATTCTGCCCACCGGACTAAATCAGACTGTTATCTTTGTGAAAGTTTGTCATTCTCTAATATTCATCTCTAATGTTTTTCAAGGTCATTAGTGGATCTTATTCAAGTCCATTCAACAAACGTGTTCTTGTTATCGGGAAACTCGGAAGGCTGTAAACCACAAATGAAGATATGGATTTTGAAGTAATCCTGTGTCAGAGACTTGAACTTGAACTCTTCAAATTGGTGGTTAACACTACTCAATTGAGTGTAAATATCATCGTTTTCATTCAGCACCAGTTTCATACAAAGTTAACGTATGTCAGTGGTCACCAATTTACTGGTGGAGTATCTGAATGGTTTCGTGAAACTTTCTGTCACTGATCTTTTGAGGGAGAATCAGGTTGCAGTATTTGTCCAACTAATCTGCGTCCAACTTCCGTCATAAGAGTCTAGCTTGTCACACGTCAGCTTTGCTCACAAAATCCCCTCGTAGCAAGTCTTCGTGTCTTTGAAACCATTTATCGAATGTAACGTTTACATCTGGGTCGTAAATAAATTCAAATATACTGTTTTCATTATTGTTACTGGCTGGAGATGAATCACTAAGGGATGATATCCGTATACTAGCAAGTGACTCCGTTATTTTAAGCTGCTGTTCCATTCATTTCTATAGGAGTGATTTGTACATTTTCAAAAACCAACCATCACCAACTATTGTATTTTGAAAAACATTAGGCTAAAATAGCTACACCAAGCTGGTTGCAGAGGAGGTTATCACGAGTATGGCGTCTCTACGCCAGCAGCGTATACAACAGCTAAATGATCTCTCAGCCCGCAACTTAAGCGAGGGCACACGAAAGACGAGATGGAAAGCAACAGTATCTTCTTTACATAGTATCCTATAATTCAATTAGTCTGTAATAATGATCAATAAAATAGTGGGCGTATTTTATGTAGGCCTATTCTGATTCGTTTATTTCCAGACTGGATATTGATCCCTTGCCTAGGCTAATTATGATTGGTCTATTTTAAGACTGGGCATCGATGCAAAAAGCAGCTAGCTATCCACAGTCTACTTAAAGATTTCCAGTGATTCTATAATTAGTAATAATTGGTTTCTTTCCAAAATTATTTTTTTTCAAAATTAAGAAATTTCAAGTACTTATCGAGAGTCTGAATAGAATTTGAAGAGCATATTATCACAGAAATTAATTCACATATTTTTCAAAGTCTCTTTTATAACTGTAGAGATTTAAGTTAGTGATATGAAGAGATATCTATCGCAATAGGATCGAATCATTATGAGTCGAAACTTTCATCGGCTGACGTAACTATGTAATAATAGGAAACTTATTCAACAAAATGACAAAATCATACTAGTTTCGATTCTGTTGTTGTTGTTCCCTTGGGTTCCTAGTGAAACATAGGACTTCAACTACACGTCTCCACTTGCTTCTGTCCTCTGCTGTACTTTCCACCTGCATCCATGCTAGTCCATACTGTTTCAACTCCTCTTCACACGATCTCGTCCATGTCACCCTTCGACGTCCCGCTCGTCGCTTCCCTTTCGGGTTCCACTCGAGCACTGGCCTGACGTGCGATGTCCCTCAGTGGCCTCCTCAGCCAGTGTCCAATCCATCTCCACTTTCTCCTGCATATTTGTTGGGTGATTGGACTTGTTTTGCTTGTTCCCATAGTTTCTTGTTGGTGATTCTTTCCGGCCATCTGATCTTCAGAACAGAGCCAGCGAAGACAGTTGTTGTTGATAAAGGTGTGCAACAGGCTGTTGGAAATATTCTTTGTGACACACTGGTCAAGTTTCTGATCTGTATAGAAGAAGTGACTGACTTGACGTTTGTATTGAAAATCCGAATCACTTTGTTGTTGATGCAGGCTGAGTGACAGCGGAAGATTTCCAGATTGGTTGTTTCAGGTTGATGAATGTGTTTCTCGCCTTCCCGATTCTCCATTTGACATCCCCGTTCGTCCCTCCTCTGGTTGGGACAATGCTCCTTAGATAATTGAAAGAAGTACCCTATTTCAAATCCCTTCCGTTGATGGTGATTGGTGCTGGATGTTGCTGCTGCTGTTGTTGTTGGTTGGTTGGTTGTTTTCATAACCTCCGCCTTGTCTGTGTTCACCTGGAGTCCTGTCTTCACCGGCTGCTTCTTCGACCAGTTTGTCGGTTTTCGTTTGTGTCTTCGATTTTGTGTGACATCAAACATAAATCATCCACGCGCGAAATCCAGGTCTTCTAGGTTCTTCACGTCGGTCCAGGATATCCCTGTCTTCTCGTTTCCCACTGTCTGACGACGCATAATCCAGTCCACCACAATTAGGAATATCATTGATGATAATAAGCACCCTTGTATGACTTCTGTGTTTACTCGAAACGCCTCGCTGAGTTTTCCATTGTGATTGATCACTTGACATGTGCCGTTGTCGTACAGGTGTTGAATAAGGTAGATGAATATCTGGGGTAGGCCGTAGTACTTGAGTAGTTTCCAAATTGCTTCACGGTCAACGCTGTCGAAGGCCTTCTCAAAGTCTATGAAGTTGAGGTAGATGTTTGATTGCCATTCCATGCTTTGTTCGATGATGATGCGTAGAGTTGCGATTTGGTCAGAACATGATTTGCCTTTCCTGAATCCAACTTGTTGTGGTCGGAGTTCTGCATCCAGTGCCTCCTTTATTCTCTCCAGGATGATACGACTCAGGATTTTACTTGGCGTCGACAGGAGCATGATTTTTCGCCATTTCTTACAGAGTCCTAGGTCGCCCTTCTTTGGTAGTTTCACGAAGTTTTGATTCTGTAGTTTTAGTTAATTCAAGGTAATGAGTACCCATCACCACACCAGGGGTCAAATCTAGGATCATTCTATTGACCATTAAGCCTGAATATCAACGACACATGAATTCTAACTTCCCAGGTGTTGGTTTGCAGGGAGCTGATTAGTTACAGATATGGTTGTGAGTTGACATCAATTAGAGAACTATTGGAAAAACTGGGGGTACTAGGCAACTGTTTCGTTAGCCTAGCTTGAGACTCTTTATCAGTTCTCGATAGTGGTGCCACTGATGAGTATCCACACCACTTCAACATGATTAACTCTACAAGACAGAACTTTTCAGGACAGCTTTGGAACATCCATCCAGTAGGCGTGAATCATCTGGAGACTGTTATCTAGGTTATGGCTTTTTATGAGGATTTGAATTATTGCGGCAATTTGAAAAGACAAGGGGCACTTGGCAATTGTTTTTGGAGTGCTCAGAGTAACATCCCTTCAGGGATTGAACCTGGGAACCTTCAGGTAGTGAAATAAACTTATTCTATTAATTACATCACAAAATCTATCGGTATATTTCGATCAATACATTCATGTATTATCCTTATTATCATTATTATTCCCTTGGGTTCCTAGTGGAACATACGCCTTCAACAACACACCACTTTGTTCTATTCCCCACTGTCCTCTTCAGTTGGCTAGCCACAGGATGGACCATAATCTCTCATTTCCTCCTCACCACACGATCTCCTCCATGTCAATCTCCCACTGCTGACCCAGTCGTTACTTCCCAATGGGATTTCACTCGAGTGATGGCCTTTACTGATCCATCCTTCACCATTTTCTCCTACATATTTGTTGAGCAATCGGTTGACAATTTCGTTAGTCCACATTTATTCCATCTGCTCTCCCAGATTCCGAACACTTCTATACCATATCTTCTCATTTCTTCGGCTAACTGGGCAACCTTACCAACCTCGTACACTGGACGTATATTCCACGTCCCCATTCTTATTCTTGCTTTCATCGAGAGAATATACATTGGCGAGCTGACTGGCTTCCCGAAGGCTGGCTTTTACCAGCCTGCTGTGTCATTTCGCTTCTCCAACTTCAGCTAAGAATACAATTTTTTAAAATATTTTTGTATTTTTGATGTTTTTTCTTGTGTGTTGAAGTTTCTGTAGCGGTTGGAATAGTTTTTGGGGCATGGTTGCTAGCTCCACGCCAAAACCTCCCTCTTTATCCGGGTTTGGAACAGTTAGAATACTAACGAGCTAGCAAATTAGGCGAGGTTATATATTATCCTATTTATTTTTATATTACGAGTTGATCACGGATTGATATCAGTTGGAGAACCATTGAAAACCAGCCAGCATGGAGTACTGGACAGCTGTTTCATCAGCCTAATTTAGGAATCATTGGCAGTACGCACCAACCTCAGGGGGTTCGAGCCCACGACCTTCTGGTTACAAGGCAAGCTGGCTCGGAAACCATTCAGCCACTGACACCTGACCCGATTCAATAGCCACCTCATGCATGAGTTCTAACTTCTACCAATTCGTGATGCATTTAGCACGACTGGCACCAACCAATGTCATCGGTGGGACATCCATCTTCACACACTTGACTGGTTGGACCTCACTGTTCACGACTTCTCACTAGAACACACACACTGCAGGAAACTCCATCCTGTAGCCAATCACTCTCTAGCTAGCATCAGATTAATTTTCAAGAGATTGGTTTGTAAGGATTAGATTTGTTTTGACGAGTTGACGAGGACAGGGTTTCTTGGAGTTCTAGTGAGAAGTTGTGACCAGTGAGATTCATCCAGTCAAGTGTGTGAAGATGGATGTCCCACCGACGACACTGGTTGGTTGTCGCGCTAAATGCATCACAAATTGAAAGCAGTTAGGATTCATGTATGGGCTGGCCACTGAATCGGGTGAGATGCCAGTGGTTGGATGATATGCCAGTCAGCTTGCCTTGTAACCGGAAGGTCGTGGGCTCGAACCCCCTGTTGATGGGTGCGTACTGCCGATGATTCCTATGCTAGGATGAAATAGCTGTCCAGTACCCTCTAACTGATATCATTCCGTGGTCAAACTCGTAAAAACAAAATTACTCCTTAAAAACCAATTATAGAAAATATCCTATTTATGTAAAAAATTTCTTTCTCTATCTACTAGCTTTTGTGTTTTTTTTTTGTTTCTTTCTCAACACAGGGTTGTGCTCGTGCCTTGACTCAATTAATTCAACACTATATCCTTGTGATCATGAGCCTATGCTTCATTTTCGCAATTATTGAAAGTTTCTTCTTAATTCTATCAATTTTATTGTTGAGAAAATCTGGATTAAAGGATGAATCGGTGTAAACAAAAAAACTATTTTACTGATATATTTTTGTGGTCTTATTCTGATTGCTTATGTTGTCGTCATAATTTTGATTTCGTTTTAAAACTCGTCAATTTCTCGTCTGACTGTGTTGTGTTCTCGTTTCGCGCGTATTTAATTTAATTTAACACGTAACTAAAGAAGACAAGATGATAATATACCGGAAGGAAAACAAAAAAACGAGATATATATTGCAAATTGAACATATATTAATATAAATATATATTCAGTAATATATCTATATACTACTCATTAATAGAATGCGGAAAGTAAACTACAGTCAGTCAGTCAGTCCATCGATTAATTAATTAATTGTTCGTAACCATTGACAACGTTATAATGATCCGTGTAACATTTCAAAATTTACAAAAAATAATACTTAATATAATAATAATAATAATAATTGATTTATTTATTTTACTATTTATTGTCATTATAATCGTCATTAAAACAAAGTATACATTTTAATTGGCTTGACTTTTGCGCATACTACTGATATGATTTAAGTGACCAATAAATAGTATTGACCTTTGAGGTGATCACTTTATTCTCATGAAAGATTTCATTGAAAGGCGTCGATTTTATGTCATCAATATGATTAATAACTGAGGATATTCAAATTAACACCATTTGGATGTCCATTGGAGTTCATTAATGGTTGGTTAACAGTCTTAATGTTGAAATTCATTCCTCGACTTATGAGAAGAATATAAAGCGTCACTAATACATCTCCAATCAATTTGGTCCTTTGATATCCTCTTTCACCTGGTTTCACAACTGTCTCTTTTTACCCAGCATGGTTGCCCCATGCACTAGGGCTTGTCTCCAAGAAGTGTGTCTGGCTTGTGTGACATCCACTGAATGTTCAGTTCACTTCCTTGTTCCTGGAGCATACTAGTTAAGCTATAGGTTTTCGATTTGGTTCAGTTCACGTGCTATCAAAGTTACTTATTGTTGATCAATTTGTGACGATCTATAATCTTCAAATTTAACAGAAAGTCTTCTAAGTAAAAAAAACAAATGTGACACTTATGTCTGTTTGGCATTTTATTTCACCTGTCAATAAGGCTGAATTTCTTGATGTAGTTAGGGACTTTCAGATGTGACAGAATTTCTTTTTGCATAACTGGAATCCAATATTTCAAAATTGTATTCATTGCCAGATTCAATTCTTAGTGATTCGCTTGAATTTGATGATCATCTGGTTGATCTTTTCATCGAAAAGCTTTAAGTATGAAATGAACCAATTATAATCCTCCATCAATGATGATATAATTGTATCCCCTGACAACCATTGTCGTGATTGGCTATTTAATTTACATCGCTATTGATTATTTTTTATTGACTTAGAATTTGAACTTTCTTGTCACATGATTTATTATTTTTTATTGTCTGGTAAATTTTGTCTAAAGTAATACGTGTTTGTTAATCTCTGACTGATTCATTTGAATACCAGGCGTCTAGAAAATACCTGGCGTGTTTTAGTGTTCCTTCTGTTTAATTAAAATTTCTAAATTCTCTCAACGAGGCGTTCGAAGTGAATACAGCAGTAAAACAAGACTCCATGCCTGTTATCACAGATAATATTCTTAATTGTGGTGAACTGGATTACCCGTCAGACTGTTGGGAAGCGAGGAGTCAGGAATATGCTGGATGACCGATAAGAAGACTCTAGAGGATCTGGATTTCGAGTGTGGATGATTTACTCTTTTATATCACACAAACTCGAAGACTTGCAGGCAGGCGAAAGCCAACAAACTGGTTGAAGAGGCGGGTCAAGATAGGACTCCAGGTGAACACAGAGAACACCAACCAACCGACAGCAACAACAAAAAGAACCAGAACCAATCACCATCAACAAGGGGGAGAAATTTCAAAGAGATCACCTCCTTCACATATCTAGCCATCATAACCTTTTCAAATAAATGCGGAACAGATGAAGATGTCAAAACCCTCATCAATCAGAAATCGATTTGGAAATTTGTTGCTGTCAACATGAAGAACAAGATTTGGATTTCTAACACCGATATCAAGTCAGTCACTTCTTCAGACAACTTGATGCAAGGTGTCAAGAAAAGCATTTCAAACAGGTTGCTGCAGAGTTTTTATCAACAATTTCCCTCTCTGTTGGCTCTATACTGAAGATCAGATCAGACGACCGGCTGGAAAGAATCAGCAACTAAAAAAAACGATGACAATATTTTACTCAATAAATATTTTGAAGAAAATGTAGATGGACCAGACACGTAACTTAGCTCTTCTTCAGTCATTTCTAAGCATACTGAAATAGAGGCAATGAAGAAGACTGTTCACGGTTGAAGAAACTATCTGGGATAGCTACTGACTGACAGACTACCTGGATGGCCTCTTTGGAAGTCAGGTGATAGATAGTACGTTAAGCTAGTAATGTATACACCTCACACTACGTCACATCCTTTCACAATCAGTGTTTGCTTCGGTATGATCCTCCTCTTTAGACTTCCACTAGCACTCAACCACTAAGTCAATTCACAATCAATCAATCAATCCATCAATCGATCAAATTATTACTATTTTGTTTTCGTCTTAATCACAATTCACAATTTCTATTTCGCTTTTTTGTTTGTTCTATTCTACTACGAGTAAAACTCGAATTTTCTTTTCTTTTTCTATAGATATACTGGCAATATCTTATAAAAAACAAAATCACACGCTCACACACATTGACAATATTCCATCATATCCTGACTTTATGTTCTCTGTTTTCAGGTACACTTGAAACACTCATATTATGTAATAGCAGCCATACCCACATATATATTATATATATACACTTGCATTACAGACATTCACAGATTGACTCACTGATAGATAGACAGACAGACAAACAGATAGACGGATAGACAGACAGGCAGAGAGTATAAACAAAATAATTTATGAACGGAGAATTCATTTTAAACAAAAATTAACTGTCATATTTCACGATACATACATTTCAATTTGTTTCATTTGGGGGAACATACACAAATGAATTTGAATAAAAATTATGATATTTTGCATTCTTCATTAAGACAGGAGATATCCCATTTTATGTTTCCCTTTAGTCTGTCTAGGTAGAGAAGAACAGAACCCAAATAAGTAACGAAAAGATGGGCGAGGAGGACGGAGGTAGTCCCATTAGGGACTCAGAGGAGATCCTGTGAAGAGAGGAAATGAATGTTTGTCAGTAATCATGACACCAAATGAAAAACTCTTGAAGTCGCCCAGTACGACAGCTTGTGCCCTTCACGTTCTGGTTGGACAGTTTCTTGCAGGAAAATGTTAGCGTGTTGCAGCAAAGTATGTTTTCCTCAGGGATTTGTTGAGGCGTTTACAAAGGATTTATGTTTCAATGTCACCTTTGAATTCTAGATTAAGCTGAAGTATCTTCTTCGGGATGGATTGGACTTGTTCAGAAGTCCTATTTGATTTTAGATTTCTTCTCTAGGAACCTAGGCGGAAAACCGGTTTCCATCAAGCTTCCTCGAAGATTACGCAGTTCTTCGTCAATCTTTTTCTCGCTGCATATCTTCCGAATCTTCGAGGAAAAAGCGTGTATCAGGTTCCTCTTTCTGCTCAGAGGCATGAAGCCTTGAAAGTTGGTGAATTTTCCATTCCATGTAGGCTTTTTGTATATGGACCTTTCCAGAGAGTTGTGGGCGTTTCTTCTCAGATGGACGTTGAGGAAGTGGAACATTCCGTCGGATTCAGCTTCAAGAGTAAAGTCGATGTTTTGGTGGGCATTGTTGAAGATTTGAAGTAAGTTTTCAAGATCCAGACTCTCATCATAAATGATGAAAGTATCATCAGTGTATCTCTTGTAAAGATGAAGGTCAGTGATAGTCGATGACAAGAAGTTGTTTTCGAGGCTGACCGTAAAACAGTCGGCCAAGATTGGTCCCAGTGGAGAGCCTATTACTACGCCATCTGTTTGCCTGTAGATTTCATCGTTGAATCTGAAGTAGCGTTGAAGGTGCAACGTAGTAACAGCTCCTTTAGATAATGGATCGGTATGCCGACATCTATGATGTTGCATTGGATGAAGTCACACAGAAAACATATCGTTTCTGTCAGTGGAACATCGGTGAAGAGAGAGACGACGTCTAAGGAGACAATTTTTCATCTGAGAGGTTGACACTTTTAATTGAATCGACGAAATCGAATGTGTCGCGGAGGTTGTATCTCGACAGCTTTTCTTTCACTGGTCCAAGAACTTCTACCAGCCACTTCGCGATTAGGTGATATGGCGAACTGATCATATCTAATATTGGGCGGAGTGGGACATCGTTTTTGTGCACTTTGGGTAGTCCGTACATTCGTGGCGATGTAGAACCAGATGGGCGAAGATGTTCATATAGTTCTGTAATAATAATTGATTCGTCTTTCATCTATTTCAATAATTTGGTTAGCTAGAGCTCCGTCTGTTCAGTTGGATCTTTTTGGGTCGTCTGTCTTTGAAATTTGTAGTCACCAGATAGAATTAGCGATTATCAATCTGTCGAAACATATATTAAGTCCTACAGAAATAAGTGTATTAGAAAAGGGATTAAATTTCAATGTAGCGGTAGACAAGCTGAAACCTGAGGATGTCATCCCTAAAATACAAATACCACTAAGTGGGATAGACAAAACAACGGCTGACGAAGTATGGGCACAATGTGCATTTACATTAAAACGACAAAAACGAGGAAACCCCAACCTGACAAAACAAGAGATAGAAGCCCTGAAACACCTTAAGAATAACAAGGATATAGTAATCACTAAGTCAGACAAAGGAAATGAAACAGTAGTATAAGACAAATCAGAATATTTGGACAAGGTAAATACTCACAAATAAACAGGACCATTTGAGAAAATTAATAAATCAATAGACACAGTTATGAATAAAGTTAAGAAATCCACTGCGGACCTTATACACCGAATGAGGCCATTTCTAGGTGAGTCTAAGTGGTTTAATTTAATGTCCAAAACTAATAACCCCAGTAGGATGTATGGTGTTGTTAAAGTTTATAAGTCAGGATACCCTATTAGGACTATAGTCGCTTGCGAAATTCACCTTCTTATGAATTATCTAAATATTTAGCCATGGTATTAAATCCCCTAAAAATCCACTCGAAATCTAGACTAACTAATTCTTATGAACTAAAACATAGACTAGATAATTTAAAATTAGATGATGAAGAAAAAATGGTTAGTTTTGACATTGTCTGTTTCTACACACGTATACCAATAAATGTGGCTATGGAGGCAGTCAGAGACGAACTCATTTCTGACCAAGAACACGAACTGAGGACGAAAGTGCCACTTGAGGACATAATGCTGGGAGTGCAGATATGCCTGTTATTATTACTGTTTCCTACAGTTCCTAAAGGAACATGACCTGGAAAAACGTTCGCACCTGTCTTTCTGCATGACTAGTTCAGTGTAGTTTGTTTACTTATCAGTCTTATATCTCCCAATGTAATTTCAATAGTATATATATCCGTGTGTGTGTAGAGTATTCAGCTGACGAGTCCTACCGAAATTTGATAAATTCATTAAATCATCCTGCTTTATTAACCTTTATTGCTTGTTTTAAATTCGTATCGGGAAATAAATGTTTTCAATTCTTGAAGAAGCGTCTCCCGGAAAGCACTGTCAATACACTAAACGATCTATTGAAATTGAGGTGTAGGATTGCTAAACACTATGCACGACAAGATTTTTTTTGAACGAATGTATCCAGACTAATATTTATCCCCGGACATTTTACAAATCCTTGCGTAAAGATCATTTGAGACCTACACGGTCAAATCTTGACCGTCTTGCTGAGTCATATTTCTGTTCTGAAACAGATGAAATCAGTAATTTATGCGTATTATCAAGCAAACTAGTCAGTGTACAAAATGACTTAAACTTCGTATGTTATCTTAAATTCACTAAATATCTTCATGCCACTTTTAATATGACAAAAGAATCAAAAGAAAAGAAACTGAAGAGGTCACTTCCTCCAGAACCACCAAATGAAATTTTTCCAGTGGATATATATAATTGTGTTCATAATTTACCTGATGGCTCTCTATCAAAAGAACAAGCAGAAATTCTGTCATTGGGATTCAACTTCTGTGTTCCCATGAAAAACATAAAGCAAATTGACATCGAATGCCAATTCGAAAATCTTTATGACCAACTTATGGGGCTACATGCTACGTCCAGTGACAGCGAAAGCTGGTTGAGAGCAAAGATGGTTTATATTGCTCACCGATTTAGAATCATGCTGGCCAATCAAAAGTCGCATATCACCAAAGAACACTGGAGATCACTAAGCAAGCTCCGATGGTAGGATGGTAGAATAAATTCTCTTGTGTTCTTTGATGATGGTTCCTTGTTGGTGTTGGGATTCGATTTTAAACACTTTTTGATGAAATTGTGCCGATATCTATTCTTTTTGAAGACCGTTAGTAGGTATTTCTCCATCATTCTCTTCAACGATGGAGTACTACAGTGTATTTCATCAAAAAGTGTTTAAAGTCGAATCATAGCACCAACAAAGAACCATCATCAAAGACCACAAGAAAATTCATCCTACCATACATAAGTAATATCTCTGAAATAACAGCTAGAATATTGTAACCGTTTGAAATCGACATAGCACAGAAGCCAGCCAACACAATCACTTCATTCGATATTATGCAAACCGAAAGACTCATCCAACAGAAAAAGGGGATAAAATTAATACCATTTACAAAATAAATTGCATGTGCGAACTGTAACAGACATTACATCGGCCAAAGTGGGCGTCCTCTTCGAATCAGAATCCAGGAACACAAATCACATGTGTTAAAGACATGATATATATTCTTTCATATCAATGCACATAGATAATTATGGACATCAGTTCGATTGGGATAATGTCAAAATTTTAGACAGAGGCAACACCAAAACTGCGGTCAGGGAATTCCTAGAAGCCTGGTACTCAAACGAAAATGCAATTAACAAACACGTTAATATAGACGAAATATACCAACTAATAAAAAGTAGATCAAGTGACCAGAAAGTTTAAAATCCAAGTCAATAGGAAATGGTCAATACATATGTAAAGATAGTTACCAGGAGACGCAATTATATCACTCATGAAGAAATTTAAATCACTTCACTTTATGCTAAATATGGCGCTGAAAGGGGATGTTGTCCAGAAGGGAGAGATGACGAAAGCTCCGCAACTAAACCAACCAGCTCAGCGAACACACTTCTAATTGCAAATCATCTCACCTGAGCTACAAATCTTCTCTATTCTATCAAGGCATATTGTTTGTTGAATATGAACAGTTAATTCAAATGAACTATCGTCAAGATTTGACAGAATAGTTCTAAAATATTTGGGCGCCGAGTGAGAAGTAGACATTTGTAAAAACTTATATTTGTAAAATCTCAGCGAGATTGAAATGAGTAATTCCAACGTTTCGTTCGGCAATCTGGTCCGAATTTCTTCAGGGAAATTAATCGAAATTAACATAACACAGGTTTATATGTAAAAGAGCTTTGTCCAATCATGAGTCATTCAACATGTATAATAAACAAACTTTTATGAGCTGTGATCAAAATTTGACCTCGGACTTACAAATATTGGTCTACCTTTGTTAAACACTTTAAACAGAGTGTGTATGTGTGTGTGCGTAA